TTCACATGCTTTGATGCCTTTTTTTTTCTTCCAGAGGAGAAGTTCTTTTTTGGAAATATCCAACAGCAAAAACAAAAGATAGGAATGTTCATTGATAAAATCATCTAATTTAGACGTAGGAACAATACAATAATAGATTCAGGTTTATTTTTAATCAGATCTTGCAACACCGGGACATTATAGGGAAGCAGCTTATTTAACATATTGTTCTTAACTTCAACTTTCAGTTCCTTATCAGCAAGAGCAAAAACTACTTGTTGGGGGGACAGGTACCAAGTGTGACGGCTAAGGCTTTGGTAAAGAACCTTTCCCACAACTGCAAATTCTTTAAACTCATCCATTGTTTGCAGCTGAAAAGCAATATTGAATGCCATCAAATCATTCGACGGTGCTTGAGAAGCCATTGCACATTTCAGAAAAAAGAAGCCGTGAAAAAATACAATGTAGTTGGTTGCAGCCTTCAGATTACTTAACGTGCTTATATTACCAGATTCAGAATCAACTGGGTAGTATATTTGATTCATTTGAATCACCAGCAAGTAGATACAGTCTGCCATAAATCTTGCTTCATGATGAGCTCCCGGTTGTTTAAATGAGAAGTTTGGTAACTCAGCTCCTAGAAAAAATGCCAGAAGCTCAAAAAGATACGTGTAATCTCCTCTCTGGAAATTACTCTCACGAAGAGCTGTGATACAGAACTCTCTTGTATCCGAAGCAAGTTTGTACAACAAAGAGTTAGTTCTAAAGGCATCTTGAGTCGAGTTAAATTTCACAATTCTCTCTAATTTGTTTACATCTCTATAAATCATATTTTTTGGAGAGTAACATACAGCTTTCTGCTGGGACCATTGGTTGGACCAAATATTTCCTTCATAACATGAGCCACATGTCTTTCATAGATGTGATGTCTACACATTAACCAAAGAACCGGTCTACCTAGGGCGTATGAAACAATAATGCATATAGCACCCTTTTTTCTCCCAGTGTTACTGGATGTTGTGTCCGAACACAATCCAATAGTCTGATCAGACATCTCATTATATTCAAGCATAGCTTGAATGGCAGTAGCTTGATCACTTCCCTTAGAACTTTCGATTTTTAAGATGCCTAGAAGTAAGTCTAGCGGACCAGACTCGGGTGAAGATGCGCTTATGGCGATTCTATCCTCGCTTTTACATACTCCTTTTTCCCAATTGTATCTTTTCAATATTTTTGTGTCAAATTGTACCACAATTTTCAAACCCCTTACTTTATCTAAATTTTCCTCCCTGATCATCTGTGCCTCAGACTCTACAATAGTATGGGTCTTTCTGTTTAGAGTTGATCTTGATATAGGGATATTATCAATATCAACACCACCAGCTTTAAAAAGAGAATTCAAAAGACACATACCTGGTCTGACTCCAATTCTAAATCTGGTCATAATTGGAATCCAGTTATGAAGAATGTAGAAAAATCGCAGACTTAATTGATGGCAAACTTTCAAATCATTCTGAAATCTTTTTTTTTTTTCTGGACTTTAGCAGGAGGTAAATACATTTCATCGTATTCACTTTGTTCTCACTATCTGTGCTTAAAAAGTCTACTTCCAAATGGTTAGTTTCTTTTTTCTTATTTTTTTCCGCATGCTTTTGGATCTTTTCTAACACTTTTAAAAGTTTTTCCTGTGCTCTGTGAACATTTTCTCTAAATATTTTATCAACGTTGCCAAATTTAACCATATCCCCTCTCAGACAATGCCTCAAAAATTTTATGTCTTCACTCAACCTCGTCACCCCTATTTTTATCAATTTTAATTAAATCATATGTTTGATTTTTGAATAGAAAAAAGAGCACTACTCTCTTTCAAAAATTTGTCAACCTTCTTGTTGTACTAAAACTTTTTAAAAATTTGTTAGTTATTTACATTAATTACGTTGGTTAGTTACTAATTTACCTTGTGTTTTTGTCAAGATTAAGCCAGTAGTACCTTCTGAGCATTTCTCCATTTGTGGGAAGTCTATTGGGGGCAAAACTCTGCAAAGGAAACCCAAGCAAATAAAATTGTCTTCGCTTCCTTGTAATCTTCGACGTGTTAAGAATATCTGCTTTAAGTGAATAAATTATCTGATTGTCGCGCTCTTGATCTAGAGGCATTTTCTAAAATCAACTATTTTTCATTTAAAATAAAATCAGAATAGTTGGATGCACAATGCATTGCACATTATATTGGACGAGTTTTTTATTATTATTATTTTATTGCCATCGTTTAATTAGAAAACTTTGATAACATAATATTAAATTTATTTAAATATAATATTAAATGATCCCACATTTTTATCTAATAATGATTATTATCAATGAAAAAAAAGACTAAATTTTAAAATCAAGTTAATACCTGAGTTTTGGTAAGTAAAGAGTTTTAGTAAGTAAAGAGTTTTGTTTTAGTTGAAAACAACTTTTAAAAGTGATTTAATAATAATTTAGCTCGAGTTAATAGATACGCATCATTAGTTTCTATCGTTCGCCATTCTTTTGTCGAAACATGTGTTTGTTTGAAGAAGAATAAAATTAATTTTATCTCAAAACTTATATATATAAAAAAAAAGGAAATTGACCTAAATAACCTTCCGCTAGAGCTAGAGACTTAATTTTTTTTTCTTGTTCGTCTACATTTTCAAAATGACGCAGAATACAGTATTCCGCACATCAAAATTTAATATACGACACTTTTTTGAAACACCCTAATATATATATATATATATATATATATATATATATATATATATATATATATATATATATATATATATATATATATATATATATATATTATATATATATATATATATATATATATATATATATATATATATATATATATATATATATCATATATAAAGAAAGTAAAATTTTATGAAAATTTAATTTCGAATAATATTGAATTCAACATTTTGCCAATTAAAGTTCAACGTTAAATCAACGTAAATACAACATTAGGTTAGCTTCAAATACAACGTAAAATACTACGTTGGGCCAACGTATAAAACCAAAACGTTAAATCAACGTAGAAAATATAACCATTTTCCGACTTTTTGTAAACGTTTTATTAACATTGGTTTTTAGTTGTTGGCGACGTCACATTTGTAACCATAATGATATAAAAACAACGTTGGCAGCCGATGTTGGGCCAACGAAACGCGCGACATTGTTATAATGTAACAATATAATGTTAACAACATATGCGTGCTAGCTGGGAGCAAAGATAAATAGCATGCTGTGTAATTAAAAAAAAAAAGGATTTGGCAATATTCGATTTAGCATCATTTCGCTTTAAAAATCTGCTACCTTTCAGTACACATACTATACTGACAATATAAGTTTTACAATTTCTTGCACAGTTAATAAAATATGCTTAATTCAGTTTTGATATACTCTTTTTTATCATTATGGGAGACAATTTTAATTTTGTAACTTGTAAAAAAGGGAGTAAAAAACAATTTTTTTTTTTTAGGTGCCCCAAGAAGACCTAACGGTCTTGTCACAGAGCACCGCAGAAGTGCGTTTAACTAGGAAGTCCACGCCTCCTTCTTTACCGTGACGCGAAAATATGTCCAGAGCTCAGAACTTTTTTACGTAAACTTATATTATTAAATTCTATTACTTTAAATATATTTGTGGTGATACATATAGGTTTAATGAAATAGAGATTAGCGCATGGAAGTGTTCGTACATTGACTGATGGTTAAAGCTTGGACAGAGAGTCTATTTTTCTTTAATTTTTAAAAATTTTTTCTCGCTCATTCCTAAATATATTTAAAACAATTTCTTATACAAATATCTTGGTTATTGTAATTGATTTTTTGTTGTTTTTTTTTCGTTTGAAAACAATAGCTATTTAAGTCAGCCTTTTAAATTCATTTTTATTACAATTTTTATATTTTAATAAAATATAAAAATAAAATATAAAATTTTTATAGACTCTAGTTATAATCAAAAAGCTATTTTTAGGTAAGTTACGTTCAGTTAAATTTTTGCATTAACGTTTTTACATATAAAACTAACAATATTGCTAAGCTTTGCATGCTTGTCTGGCTAGGGAATAGAATTGTAAAAATGTAATTAGGAAACATCTTCTAATAATTACCCAAGTTTGTATACCCTGTTTAAATTTCCACTTTTATAGTATAAAGTAATTTTTTTTTACGTTATAGTATAAAAGTTACAACTTTTTCAAGTTTAAGTCTGGCAAGAAGTTGCCACCATGATAATTGTCTAGAATTGGATTGCGTGATTTCTAATACTGCTCTAAAGAAAGTTAAAAGAAAATTACGTTTTATAGTTTTAAAATTTTTTGCCGATATTTTAAATACATTAGGTACCTGTAACCAGCCTAAGCCACCCTGATCAAAAGTACAAAGTTGACTATCGTTTTATCTTGTATTTGAAGCATGCACTGATAATTTAAGTCTAGCGGTCACTTGCTCAAAGACTATTATTAATTTTTAATATTTCGAAGTGCTCTATTACGAGACATATTACAAATACTTATATTTATATATATATGTATATATATATATATATATATATATATATATATATATATATATATATATATATATATATATATATATATATACATATATATATATATATATATATATATATATATATATATATATATATATATATATATATATATATATATATATATATATATATTTTATCTAACCTATAATACTTTACGTAACCACAAACTGCAAATAAGATGTTTACTTATCCAACCAAAATAATATAAAATTCAAACACTTATTGAATTAAAAAGTTTAACTTTATGACTTATAATAATCTTCTTAACTTTATTATTATTAACTATATATAATTATTTCATATTTTATTATTATTAAGGATATAGAATTATTTCATACTTTGTAACAAAAGAAAAGCAATTTAATTACATAAATGTTATTTATATGTATAGCTGATTTTTAGAGTTAAAAGTATTTTAAATTTAACTTTAGTGGTTTATGGTGGTAATTGCACTAATGGTTGGTTGGAGTATAAAAATCACTGCTACAATTTTGCTTATGGTAATTTGTTTTACGGAAAAACATGGAATGATGCTCTTTTAACATGTCAAAGCTATGGAGGTAGTTTGGTAAAAATAGATGATCAAGAAGAAAATTATTTTATTTTAAATCAGACATACTGGTGGAGTTATTATTGGATTGGTATGTTTTTTTTTTAATTTCGTTATAGCACATATTTAAGTTTTATTAATTTATTTGACAATTTTAAACATTTTTATATAATCATGTTGAAATTAAAGTTTACAACTGTATAGAATAGAATATTTAACAGTTGCACTTGCAAGAAAATATGAGGCGTTGTATCATAATTGAAATGTAAATATGAAATTTAATGATAATTAAACAAAGTTTTAAGTATAATCTTAAACAACATAGGCACGAATTACTATTTTTTTGAATTCAAACAATACAAAAATATCTTGAAAAAGTTATTGTTCAAGACTCTATTTATTACTTAAAACTTCGAGAGCGTTTTGAAACGAGTGTTCTTTAATTACACTTGCCAAAAAAATAAACATATTATAACAAACTTTTATTTAAAGTAAATAAAATCCTAAATAAAAATGGGATAAAGATGATTTTAGATTTGTTAAGACTTTCAAGATGGAAGAAAATATCTCATACAATTACTATTAAAGTACTTTAACAAAGATCTATAATAAATTATAAAGATGAAAAAATAGCAACAATGGTAGTAAACAGAAAAAAAAAAACTTGTAAAAAAGATTTCTATTTTAAGATTCATTTCACAATTACAAAAAAAATTTTAAATGTTAAATTAATTAGATTTAACTCTAATTTTATTTTTTTTTTACGGTAAAATATAATTTTTATAGAACTATTTAAATATCGACTTTTTTTTCGAAATTGATAAAAAGTGATTTACACTAGTTTAGAAACTTAAAGCTAAATAAACCTGTTGATAATGTATGTTTTAAATTGACACATGTTTGAAAATGAAAAAAGTAAAGTTATCAAACAAATCTTAAGGTACACAGAAATGTACAAAAATTTTGTAAAAACCTATCTTTGTAAATTTTGCTAAAACCTACCTTTGAGAAAATCTTTTTATTAAGCAGTAAATCATTATAAAAAGGTGCTGTCTCACGCTAAGCTACTAATTAACTAAATATTGTATCTTATCTCATAAGTTAGGCTCTAGAAACTTTTGGGAAACCTTTGACAGTGTTGTCAATAAATATAATCCAAAAATTTCATCTCTAATTTATGAGACTTATTACCTCTCCCAAGGATAATGTTGAATTTTTTGTTCTAATAATAGACTTTTTTTCTTCTAAATACTCTTGAATCTGAAAGCCATACTCTTTCTGCCATTCCAGTTATACAGTTTAACCTATTGTTATACATTCAAATTACTTCGGCTTCCGTTGCTAAATCGTGTATCAATTAAACTTTTCTACAGTATGTGGTCCAGAATTCTTATCATAGTCTTGCAAAACTGTTCTTCAGAACTCTTTTTAATTTCTCCAAACTATTTAATGAGGTACTTGACTAAATCTTGTTTTCCTGCATGCTGGAAAATAGCATTTCTGATTCTGTTTTTAAAAATTTTAAAGACTATTCAGACCTGATTAAAGTCTGATTAGTTTTTTTTCTATTATTAGCAAGACCTTTGAGTTTTTGATCAACAAATTTTTACTTTGAGAGACGGCGAGTCAAGGGATATTGCTCTTAACATATCTGAAATTTTCAAAAACATTTGGCATGCTGGTTTTCACAATGAACTTGATTTATATGGTGTTACTGGGAAAGTTTTTGAGATTATCAAACAATTTCTTTCAAATCTGTTTATTAAAGTATCCTCAAAAGGCAACACTCTCCTTTATTTCCAGTATTTTCAAGGGTACGTCAAGGTTCTGTCTTTGATCCTGTGTTATTTCTTATCTAGATTAATAATCTTTCTGACAATCTTAAATCTATAGTGGCTCTTTTTGCTTACTACTCAACTTACACACCTGTCTTTACAAAAAGTCTACCCTTATTGATTGCATAAAAACAGGCGGATCTTGAATTTCGTCAAACTCTGTTAATGCTGCCAAAATTGGTTTATGGATTGATAGACTTTCATGCTTCATAAACTTTTGATTTTTAAATTGATTGTGAACACTTTTTATTTTAATTAAAACAAACAATAGATCTTTTTCGTCTTTTTTAAGTAGAGTACAATAACTTTGTTCTTGTCCATTAGTCACTTTTCCACTATTTGATTTTTTATTTTTTACATTTTTTTACACTTTTCCACTATTTGATCTCATAGTCATTTTCCTCCTTTTGCTCTTAAATGGCAAAAATCATATGCATCTTTGATTAAATTTATATTAGCTTACAATAATCTTTTATGTTTTTAGGCAATTTTGCATAAGCATTGTATTGTATTGAAATTTCTTGGTTTAACGTAAGCGTAACTCAAGTGTTAGTTTTATTTTTCAACTGATTTCAACTACTCTCCTTTGAAACAAAGTCAATCTATTAATCAGACTAATTAAAAAAAAAACTTGTTTTAAAGAGCTATTATCTGAAAAATATAGGCTTATATATAATAATATATGTCTGGAAATGATATCTTCAAAATGTCTTTGTCTTTTGATATTTTGTAGATAATAATGAAATTAGGCCTCTGTTTAAATTTTTTTGAAAATTCATATTTTCGAAGATATTAGGTCTTGAAATTTGATCCATTTTGTTAAAATAGTTGTGCATGGAGTACAATTGCTACTTTGTGTGGCAAATTTAGCAACATGAATTTGAGACTTTTTAAAATAAAAAGATTTTGAGAGATTTTTTTCTCTGCAACTCCAGGCGGATTTCTAAATACTAAAAGTATAAAATGAATATGGTTACCCTTATTCTTGTCTAAAAATTGTGATGCGGAACCTCTATATTTTTATATATTACTTTTACTTTGAGCATTTACATCTGCTAAGGCCATTACTTACATATAGAGTTTCCTTAAGTGTTTTTGAAAGCCACAGAGACATGCAACAAGACTTTGAAGTCTTAATTTCCCGGGGTCTTAATTTTTGAAGTAATACTAATAGATATTCTTTCAACGAGTTTTTATTTTTTATTTTTATTTTTTTTCAATTTTTTATTTAGGTGCCCCAAGAAGACCTAACGGTCTTGTCACAGAGCACCGCAAAAGTGCATTTATCCAGGAAGTTCACGCTTCCTTCCTTACGCGAAATATATCCAAGGCTCGTTTCGAAACTCAATCTCCAGCTTATAAAGCAAGCGCTTTAACCACTGCGCCACAGCCATAAAAAATCTACACAAGCGCATATTTGCTAGTATATAGTGGAGACCGGGGCTGCATGCAAAACATTTCTTAAAACTAAAATTATTTCCTACAACTTTGATTTTTTTTTAAAAAAAAAATTTAATGGGTTATAAAATAGATATAAAATATAAAATAGTTATAAAATATAAAATAGTTACATTAATTTAACATTGGTAGATATAATATAAAACTTGTCATCTCGCAATTTTAAAAACAAAATGGAAAAAAAAAAATTTAATTTACTTGTCTGGGGCAAATTGCAATGGTAAACAGGGTAAGTTGAAACGCAATACTCAGGTCCGTAGGGACAAAAATTATATTAGGGAGGGTTGGGGGGGGTGAAGAAAGACTGAGCAGTCACTCAATATTATCATAGAAGTATTTTAGATGAAAGTGCAACGCTATTAAAACTCCTAAAACCATGCGTGAAATCTTTTGTTCATAAATTAACATCGATAAATTCTCTAAAATCAGTCAAATTTTTTCGATAAAAAGTATTTGTGGTTCATCTTGCAGATTTTTAAATTTTTTTTTGATATTAAAAAAAGTAAACATAATAATAATAATAATAATAATAATTGTTTTGTGCATCAAGTTTATGCAATTTACGAAAAAATATTATTTGTATATAATTATATATACATATATAAAAAGTTCTAGAAAAGGTTTAAATTTTACTTTAGTTAGAGTTTAAAAAATTTACTCTGATTGTAAATCTAAATTAACAATAAAGTAATTTAAAATTGAAAAAAAGACTTTTCAATCTTGCCCTAAATTAAACTAGGCACCTAATTTTTTTTTTTTTTCATAGTTAAATTAACTATGAAAAAAAAAAAAAAATTAGGTGCCTAGTGCAATTTAGGGCAGGATTAAAAAGTCTTTTTTTCCAAAAGGATTGACCTTTATAAACTAAATTGGAAATTAAAAAATAAATAAAAATGTTTACAACGGGGCAATAATACATAATATGCTACCTATAAAAACTTATTTAGTTTCAAGTAAAGATGTTGCATGTGGAATAATAACTTTTTTTGTAATAGCCATTGAAACTTGTGTCACGGAAGGAACTTATCGTTCCTTCTGTGAGAAACTAATGCGACGTTGTTTGATTGTAACAGTACTAAGTACTGGTTATCATTGTTATTGAATTAAAATGAGTAAGCAAGAATTAAATTGATAATTTTTAAATGTTTCTTTTTAAAATCGTTATCGGAAGTTGACATTTCAAAATTGGTTGATGTTTCTTGATCCTCATTTAAATTTATTTTAAGGTAATTATGAATATACTTAATCTTTGAAAAAAGAAGCTGGAAGTAGAAAAAAGAAAAGATTTAAAGATAAATATAAAGAAAAATCTATCGTTCGCTCCATAAAGATGCATAATAAAGAAAAAGATAAAACCGCAAAATTCTATTTAAATTTCTATACTAAATTTGTTTAACAAAAGCTAACTATATAGTATACAAATAAGTATAACTATATTATAGCTCAAGTTAATTAATTATTCAATTTTGATAATGAACATATTGGCGTGGTTTTTTCCTTGGCAGAACAGAGTTTGTTAGTAGTATTAACATTTCAAACTTTCTGCATTCTTCCTTGATAATTTCCGTAATTAAAAATATCAGAATTATTAAAGAAAACACTTTTTACTCTTTTTGATTTAAAAAAGTATGCACCCTCTTCAGCTATATTTTGGCTGTGAAATTAATTACGTTCTTTTCTGAGTTTATGCCCAAATTAAAGGCCAACATTATCATAAAACATACTAAAATCCCATTCATATACATTTAATGTAACCACGTCATACAGGCCTTGTTTTAAATAAAAAAGTGCTTAATGC